TGTATCTTGGATGCAAAAGCCAACAAGCGGCCAAACAATCTGCATGCTCTTTAGTTGAATGTTTGTACAACACACACACACACACATAATTATTTAACATAAACTTTCATTAATTTTTTCCTTGACGGATCTAGAACTGGCAGCCACGTCGGTTCGACCCATGCTGGATCCGCTCCTACACATGAAGCAAGGTTATCATCTCCTTTGTGCATCACTTCATCAAATTATTATCCTAAATTCGAATTTGAGCAAGGTAAGTTCACTTTCATCTCCNTTATCATCTCCTTTGTGCATCACTTCATCAAATTATTATCCTTAATTCGAATTTGAGCAATGTAAGTTCACTTTCATCTCCTACACATAATTATTTGAGAAGTGCCATTAAAGGGAATCGAACGTGTGTATCTTGGATGCAAAAGCCAACAAGCGGCCAAACAATCTGCATGCTCTTTAGTTGAATGTTTGTACAACACACACACACACATAATTATTTAACATAAACTTTCATTAATTTTTTCCCTGACGGATCTAGAACTGGCAGCCACGTCGGTTCGACCCATGCTGGATCCGCTCCTACACATGAAGCAAGGTTATCATCTCCTTTGTGCATCACTTCATCAAATTATTATCCTAAATTCGAATTTGAGCAAGGTAAGTTCACTTTCATCTCCCTTTTTGAGTTTTATTGTGGAGGGGGATGTGCTACATAATAATGAATTAATCATTGATATAGTTTGTGCTTTGAAAATTTTAGGATTGCTAGAACCCAAGCCACTTGTGATTCTGGGCACAAATTTGGCATGATTTATATGTGTTGATAAAATGCCCGAACTAAAATCTTGAACACTCTTCATTTGCTTATAGAATTTATAGCAGAAAATTCCATATAAACGTTTTCATTTGCGATATACCTCTATCTACTGAAAATAGTAGAAAACACCTTTGTTTGAAATCTCTTGTGTGAAAATCCCCTTCCTGTCAATATCTGTCAGATTTTCTGTTAAAAATAGTAAAAAAATATCAAAATTGAAAAAGAATAATTGTAATTTTGGTACCCAATTTTTTTTTTTTTTACAAATTAAATCCAGATTTTTTATATGTGCCATTTACTCTTCCAAATCTTTAAAACTTTATTTTCCAATCCACCCCAATGCACTTCACCTTCTACCAAAAAAAAAATAAAATCACTTAGAGGAGCCTGATAAAATAAACCCCCTATCTTCGCTCCTTTACTCTTCTTAAATATCAACGCTCCATAACTCAATCTTGCATATTTCTCAATCAATTTGATTCAAAAAAATTTTAATACACACAAGGGAGTACTTTTGAAGAAGATGCATTTTATTTCCGACAAAACACCCTTTCTCAAAATTCACTCTCAAGAATTTGGTTATTTGTTTTGTTTATTTTTTTGTTATGTGGTTATTTATTCATATGAATTTCTGGGCCCACGATATTGATTATTTAAGAGAAATTCGTATTTTCTAAATTTCTTTTCTTTGTTATAATTCTTCGCCATTTTCAATGGCATTATATTTTAATTTGTATTTGAACAGAATGCACTTTGTTTGATATAATTAGGGTTCTGAACCTGAATCAACTTTAACCAAAATGCAGAGGGATCCAAACGGACCCCAAGAATTCCAAAGATTCGTCATCAAACTCAGCTAGCACCGAGTCAACTCAATCACCCTCTCCATTGATGTCTTGGGAAAAGTTCTCTCGTTTCTAAATTTGGACAAGGATAGAGTTCAGTTTTACTGGTGTGCAAGGACGAGTACAATGCTAAGTGCTAGACAAGAACAAAACTTTTCATAGGAAATTGCTATTCAGCCTCTCCAGAGATTGTGGCAACAAGGTTTCCAAGAATCACGAGTGTCACGCTGAATGGCAAAAGAAATTGATTGAGAAGTGTACACAATGGAGTTATGGAGCGTTGAGATTTACAAAGATTAAGAGCTTGTTTTGGAGGGATTAAAATTGAAAATATAGTTGTTGGGGTTGACTTTTATTAGACGAGTGGGACCCAATAACGACTATATTTTCAATTTTAATTGAATTTTAATCCTTTCCAAACAAGCTCTAGATCAACTCTATTAATTTCAAACTATGGTTATTCATTAGCAGCCATAACTGCATTTTTATTTTTTTACCATGCATATTCAATAATCCAAACTCTTAAAACTTCTTATATAACAATTTTTCATGTGTTTTATTTGCAAACCGGCTCTTTTTTTGGTTTCTTGATTCCACCTCAAAATAGATTTTGGACATCACGCTTCACTTGACACCGCGATATGAATGATGGTCGAAACAATTCNTTTTTTTTTTTTTTTTGGGGGAAGAAAATGAAGTAGATTGGGGTGCGGTGCGGTTGAAAATAAAGTTTTAAAAATTTGGAATTGTGTGCGGTACATATAAAAAAAAATTGAATTTAATTTGTAAAAATTTAAAAAGATTGGGTATTAATTAAAATTGCAATTATTCCTTTTTAATTTTAGCATTTTTTACCGTTTTAACAACAAATCTGACGGATATTGGCGGCAGGGAGTTTTTTGCACAAAAGATTTCAAACGGAGGGGTTTTCTGCGATTTCCAATTGGTAAGGATATATCGAAAATAAAAATGTTTATAGTTGCTATTAATCATTTGCTTATACTTTGGATAACCTTTGTCGAAGTTCAGGGGTCCTTTGTGAACCAATGGTCCAACATATCATGCACTGCATTACATTCACTTCACCATGTGATTGTGCTCATTTTGATTGTGCTTGCACCTAATCTTCATTAAAAGCTAGTTTCATTGCTTTCCATTATAAAAAGAAAACCCAAATTTCAAGAGATGCGTGTGTGTTACTTAGACGGAACGCCTTGCCGGCTATGAAAGTTTATTTAAGTTTTCTTATGCTAGTAGAAATATGTTGCAAATTGTACTAAAATGCCCAATACCTACAAATCTCACTTTAAGTTTGCGGGTGGTTGAGTAAACGTGATTATTTGGACGAGTGTTGATTCCATGTTGAATATCTGTATGAGGGTGATTTTGATTAACACGTTGAAGCTAGGTATTGACCTATACTAGGAATTAGATCCAAACTACTTAGTCACAAAAAGGTATTGCACTAATCATGCTTTAAAAAAAAAAAAAAAACTTTTTATGTTTATATGAACAAAAACTACCCTATAAAAATATCCCAATAAAAACACAAAATAAATATCCCCAAAAAATAAAAATAAAGAGCGTAAGTTCAAAATAAGAATAAAANNNNGCGTAAGTTCAAAATAAGAATAAAAGCATGTGCATGAAATAGAAGATGGACTAAGCCTTGGACACTAAATTTGAAGATCTAGATAGCTAGTGTGCTTGACTTGCTTAGTGAAATTTGAAGATTACGACACTCACAATTAAGGAGAATCTCGTTGTGTCTAATTAATTGTTTTTATTGATTCAATCCAACTGAAACTGAGTGAAAAGTAATGAGTAATGTGAGCGCAAACTTTAAAGTAACCATTTTAGGGATGACTATATATCGAGTTTGGGGGTATGTGAATCTCGTAAAAGGTAATGAAATTTTGATAACAAAAAGGTCTATGCCAGGAGAAAACGTTAAGGACCAAAATTGCACAAAGACCAAAAGTTAGGGATCATTTGGGCCAATATTCCAAAAGTTATGTACACAAGTCTTCATCAGATGAATATAGTTAATTTTCTATTACAGTGACATTTACCTTACACGTCACTTCTTTTTTAGGGTATTTTATGTCTCTCAAGCAACAAGTAACTTCTTTTTTAGAGTACTTTATGTCTCTAAAGTAATAAAAAAGAAAATAACAGAAAAGAAAAGAGAAAAAGAAAAAGAAACTAAAAAAGAAACATCACTTTAATTAATTTCTTAGGTTCTACAAAGATACATGGATGAAAGTAACATTTCAAAAAGCGTTAGGTACAAAATAGGTTGTCCTTTAACATAAATCTAATAGTTGACATTCAATGGAGACATATAGGGCCCGTTTGATTCGCATTGTTGTAGAATGAGAATGAAAAATATAGTCATTATTGGCCCCACACAAAATATAGAAATTCAAAATTGATGGCTTGATATGATGAATAACGATCATATTTTTCATTTTTATAGATGAAAAATGAGAAACAAACAGGGGCATATACATAAAGATCAAGAACCTAAAATTTCTAGTAAATTGGATGGACACGAAATAATATAATTCACTTATCAAAGATCGAACCACCAGAAAACCATTAAGAATTGAGAAAAAACACTACCGCAAAAGAAAGAAGGAAAGAAACTCAACTCTATCCTTTTTTGTTGGAAAATGAAATAATTTTGTTACTTGTACATCGAAATTGTACATAAAGTATTACGTAATATGATGTTGAGGAAAAAAATGGATAAAAAAATTGACTGTATTTTAAATTGACAAATAATAGAATATCATGTGATACTATGTAATTTAGGGAGTGTTTGTTTCTGATT